CTGGTCAAATCGTCTCGCCTTATGGTGAGTCTCGCCTTCCAGCAACGTAAGCGTCAGTTGATTGCAAGGACAAAAGGTCTAGCAGAATCGGCGCCTGGGGGAACTGCTGTGACATAAAGAATGCGTCACCTATGGGTCACCAGCGCAAAAGAAATCACGGTCCTAAGAGCCAACAGTGAGCATCGCGGGACGGGTGCTGGCAGGCAGCGGGGCACGAGGTACCAGGTCTCTGCCTGCTCTCAGCACCTCAGAGCAGCTGCTGACGTTACAAAAAGCACCACTGGCGTTAACTGATGCTGCCAGGAAACGGGCCAAGTATCGACAAGCCCGGCTAGCTGGGCTGTTGGAGCGTATCCCCCACAAAAGGCCAAGTCCCAGTGGCAGATGGCCAGAGGGAAGTCTGCATTCCCGCAATCCACGCTCTAACCATTATGAATAATCCGCAGCTCTCCTGGGTCCGATGCGAGGCAGGAGCCAGCCCTGCTAGGAAACGGCATCAGCCATCGACTGTCCCAGCCAAAAGCATCCTCGGACTGGTGTGTTGGGGCTGTCATGTACAGATGAACAGGGTCTATGTGAACAGTCTGTAGGAGGAAGGAAAGCAAGCCCCGTAGAAGCGGGGTCTAAAGAGAAAAGCTGTGAGATTCATGATTTCTTTCTGTAGAATCTGAGAGTCGAAAGCGTAGGTTTCTTTAAAAATGCTTTGTTCAATCCCTATTAAAGCCTCGCTTGAAATTAAAGTATAATCAGAAATTGAGGGAACATGGTCTTAGCAGAGGTGACATTACACAGTTTTACGCCGCCTTCCCCTGCCTCGCCCTCCGTCCCGCGGCAAGCAGGAGAGCCATGCCTGGATCTCAGGGGGCAGAACCTCAACAAAACCAAAACTGAAAAACCATCGGGTCCTGCCCCGGAGAAAGTCTTCTCCCAGAGAGAAAAGCGCCGTCAGCAGAATTGACTACAGCTCCCAGCGTTCACCGAGGCTGCTTTTAGGACAAATTTTATCCAGGAGCATCCTAACCGATCTGAAATCGAAAGCAAGCCCCGGTGGCGGCTGGACGCTGTAGTCCGCTCCCCGGGGTGGGGGGGGAACTACCGAGCGGAAAGATCCGCGCTCGGGAGAGCCCTGCTCGGGGTCTGGGGGAGCAGGAAGAAAGCGCTGTGCCCCTGCGGGGCTGCCCGGCTCCCTCGTCGGGCTGTCCAGCAGCCCCCGGTGGGTTGGGGAGGGATGGGGGGATT